CGAATCCAAAGGAGCTAGCCATGACCTAACTTACAAGCACTTCATTGTGGAAGTAGATGTCGATCAAAAACTCCGAAGGGGAATAATAGATCTGCTTTGCTACCCCCAAATATAAGGATCTGTAACAATACCGTTTTGAGGCTGCACCATCACCCTATACCTTTTGCTCCTTATGCAAACCCTCCTATCTTGGCTACAACGATACTCCTGAGGCTGTGTCTGACAGGATGGCTTTATGTATAGCCATGAAGAGCAGGGGTTTACCCTTGCATAAGTCGAATATCAACCTTAGTTTATCCTCGCTTTTTCCCGAAAAGGATCAAGAACTTCGATGACCCTCTAAAAGTGTTAGTACTATGTAGGTAGGAATCTCCGTATCAAGAATTGGCTCCTCAGGTTCCCACCCCTTCAAGGGTGAGGCACCTTCATCACAATAATCTTATATTTTTTTCTCGGCTTGTCGGTGCTAGCATGGTGGCTAGATCGAGTCGGGCCCAACGTCTCGACCGATGTCTCACAGATAATGGCTAGAGCGAAAGAGGCCACTATTATGCTCGAAGAGAAGACAAATACCTTCCTCTTTAAGGAATACAGATTCATGCCCATAAAGGATCACATTCACAAGACTACAAAGGGTTAAAAAGAGGGATGAGGTGAAGTGATGGGAGATTCAGGTCATACCTGTGGAGTCGAGTTGAGACTTGCATTGATTAGTCAATCCTCATCCATCTTCTAGATAGCCTCAAAGGAAGGAAGTATATCCCTCAACTGAAGCACTTAACCTGCCTTCTCGTCCGATAAGAAAAATGGGTGTTATCTATGTAGTGCGATCAAGTAAGATCAAACAGCCAATCTTGACCTGAACCTATGAAAATGAAGTGCTCCTTCCAACCCTTACGGTTGGAAGGGGCTTTACTAACTTTAAATCCCCCCGAGTAGCCAAGTAGTAGCCACTTTTCCCCTTGCATAGTTAACAATAAGCTATAAAGAGTTTATGAGTCAGACTAATGTTGACATGCCTACATTCTTTAATTAATACTATTATATAGCACCACGAGTTGGACGCTATATGAGAATGTGATATTTGTCACTATTGTAGGCAAGACATTATCACTAGGTGTAGGAAAAGATGAGGTTCCACCTCGAGGACAACATGGGACAACCAAAGAGATAGTGGGGCGAGGTCAAATGTGTTGGGAAATCATTAAGGAGCATCACATATAGAGTGAAAAAATAAAACAAAACCATTTCTCGAATAAGGAGCATTGGATCATCAGGTGATGATGGTGAGCGTAAAACTCAAAATCACAAAACAATAAATCTTGATCCAATGGATGAAGGAGTTCTCGTGAACTCCTCTTTAGTGATGATCCACACGATGAATGGTAGCGGTGTGCACCTCTTCCTTACTGCGGGTTCTCTCATCATGATAGTGCACCACCACACAACAGTAGTAAGCAAGAAGGGGCCGACCCTCTTATTGTCCTCTCACATTAGGGAGGGGGCTCACGACAAGGGAAAGATGAGAGAAAGAGATGAGGAGGCCGATGGTTCTAAGGGTCTAGCCTATGATCATTTGAGCCTCCCTCCTATTTATAAAGAGCTCCTTCATGAAAGCCCTAATGGATCTTTCTTAATGGGTATTGGATTTTCATCCAATAACCACTAGCTTAATGGGTATTAGATCCCCATCCAATAACCCCTCTAGGCTCTATGCTCTATTGGGTCTCACCCAATGGATTCATTAAAACAAGGGTAAAGGAGGCTTATTGGATATCTCATATCCAATCCTCTATTCATCAAGTCATCCAACGTATGTGTATGACTCTCTAAGCCCAATATCGAGCTGGCCGTGAGTTACACATGTCAGAACCCCTTATGACTCAAAACTCATTCTGAGTCAATGAATTATTATTCTCATAGTAATTCACTTAACTCATTGACTATAAATGTACTATGCTACTACACCATAGCCCTCATACGGTATCAGGGGATTTAATCTATTGGACCTATCTGCCATCAGTTATCATGTATCTATAATCTCTCATCGATCTAATATCCTAGAGACCATATACATGGTATGGTATTGTTAGGCCCATACGAAATCCATCTGATTCTCATGCTTATTGGATTCTCTTAGAGAATTCCTTCTCTCTTAATCCGAGTGACCCTGGCTAGAGATTTGCTTGGGTGAAAACATATAAGATATTCTTTTCATGATACCAAGAGTGGATGATCTTTTATTGACATCTAATTACCTTCGTAATGTTAGTTGTTATTCCCATTGATTATATATAAGGCATTATATATACTAAGTTTAGTATCAAAGAACGAAGTAATCAAATAAGGCATTATTAGTATCTCAAGTCTACGGATCATATACACAATTGAAACTATGAAATTACTATTTAATGATGAAGCATCATTAACCATATAATTTTTCGTAAGTGGATCATTCGGTAAACTCATTTTCCAAATAGCACATGCATTATATTCCTGATATCTCCATATAAGCAGCTATGAGACCAACTGCTTTCATTATATGGATGAGTATATAGTATACTAGTTTGTCTAATTATCTCGATGTCCTTCTTGAATAACTTATGATCATGAATATTTATTATGTGTTTAAAGGCGAATTGGTCTCATTATCATGACCCAATTCCCATTGTATAGATTTAACGATATCACGATATATTCATCATATAATATAAAGTGAGAAAATATTATTATTAATATTAACCAAAAAAGATTATGCAATGAATTAGATACGCTATTACTTACGTGATTGGCTTGCAGAGCACCTGTAACTAGCAGAATGGATGCTGACTAAGTCTAGAGACTTTCAAGTCAAACTTGATTGAGATTGAATACTTAACTTGTAGGTAATTAAGAAGTGGTGCACTCACTACTAAATCATAGTCATGTGAGCCTTTTATAGACTCAAAGTCTCGAAGAACTTTTGGGTTCACGAGAACTACCTCCCTCAATAAAGAGGAGGTCAGAACTTTCTCTACCCTTGGGCTATTCAAAGACAAAATATTGACCTTGATCATCTGATGGCCAGTAGATTAAGAAGAACTTATATGAGAAAGGAGAGACGTCTCGACCTAATGGGATGGAGGAGCCGAATGGTAAAAGATCGATATATTGTTGAATCGATGCTAGGACTATAAGAGACTCAAGGATCAACTCGCCATGTAGGGTGAGGACCAACTCACCTAACGAAGCAAAGAAGATTTCTAAGGAGGCTTTGGAGGTTCAAATAGAGGAATGAACCTCACACATAAGGTGAAGAGAGATTTATATGGAGGGAGCCAACCTCTCTCCTCCTAGAATTGAGACAAGTGTTCCTTCGAGATACTTCCAAAGAAACACCAGTGAATTAAGGACTCGAAAAGTGTTAGATAAATGATTTAAAACATGCCAAATAATGGATTCAAAATACACTAGATGAAGGACTTGGCTCACATGAAAAGAAATCTACCACGATGGAGGCACAAAAGTAAAATATGCTCGAGATGCTTGCATCGGAAAACTTGACTCACATGAAGAGAAATCTATCATGGTAGAAGCACAAAGTAAAATGTGTCCAAGGTACGTGTATTGGGAAAACCTAACTCGCATGAAGAGAAATCTATTATAACAGAGGCACAAGATAAAAAATGCTCAAAATGCATGCATCAGGAGAACTTGACCCCATGAAGAGAAATCTATCACAACAAAAGCACAAGTAAAATGTACCCGAGATGCATGCATTGTAAAAACCCGATCCACATGAATGGAAATCTGTCATGGTAGAGGCACAAAGTAAAATATGTTTGAGACACATGAATTGGGAAAACCTAATCCGCGTGAAGAGAAATTTAACATGGTGGAGGCACAAGGTACAATGTGCTTGAGATGCGTGTGTTAATAAAATCCAGCCAATGTGAAAAGAAATCTATCATGGTGGAGGCACAAGGTAAAATATGTTCGAGATATGCACATCGAAAAAACCCAACATGCATGAAGAGAAATTTACTATGACGAAAGCACAAGGTAAAATATATCCGAGGTGCGTAAGTCGAGAAAACTCAATCCCCATGAAGAGAAATCTACTATAACGGAGATGCAATATCAAATGTGCCTAAAACACGTGAGTTGGGACAATCTTACTCGCGTGAAAAGAAATTTGCCATGGCAAAAACGTAAGACAAAATATACTCAGGGCATGCGAATTGGGAAAACCCAACCCACGAGAGAAAATCTTAAATACTCTATGTCGGATGAACTAAATATCATACTTTGAGCCTCTCTCGTAGAAGCCCTAAAGCACGCTTTCGTGGGGGACAGATAATAATGGATATATTGTTGGCTAATCATATGACATATCACCACAATGTGATTCTTATAAAGGGAGAAGACAAAACTTTCTTTTTGTCATTTATAACTCGAAAAACAATCATAAGCTTCATTCTTACTATTTATGATAAGAAAACTAATCGTAAGTTTCTTTCTTATTTTTCATAACCAAATATAAAGTTTCACCTTTAACATAGAAAAAAGAGACTAGGAATTACTTGTGCCCGCACTCATATATCTCAAGTGATAAATTTAGACATTGAAAAGATCGAATTAGAAAACCTTTTTCGATCTTAGTCTTCATGCAAGTGACATTCTAAAAGCTCATCGTTTTTACCTTGAACAATCTTACGCATACGGTTTCAGATCACGTCAAACTAATCAAGACATCAATAATATTTTTTCGTGTTAGTCTTAGTTTTTGATTTCTCAGAATAGTCGCTATGAGTTGATGGTGAGGAGAGGTAAGACGAGAAGAGAAAGGTAGATAGACGGAGCGGAAGAGAAAGAGATGAGCAGAGGAATCAGAACTGCAAAACGAGAAAGGTGAAAGAGGAAGAAGAAAACGATGGTAGAAGCGTTAGGAAACCTACACATAAACAATTTTTAATTAATGCACATATATAGTCCATTTGCCAATGCCAAAAATATAAACATTAAAAAGAGTCTTGTTATAATAGTGTGCTTGAGAGTCTTAATACAGAGTCCATATTTATCAGGCACAAAATAAGTACATATGGACCTTTACAGGAACAAACAAATTATATATTTGAGCAGCCAAACTTGGATGGTTGCTACGAATAAAAGAATGCCTACTGACCTTTAAACTTACCCCAAAACAAATGCATTGCTCGTCAACAAATAGCAAACTGTAACATTCATGAAGTGACTACGAAACAACAGAGAACCAAATGCCGGAGAAGAACAGAGCAAGCGGATAACTAAGCATAGTATGAAAGTAGAACGAATGGGATAGGTTCTGTGACTCCAGACTTCAAAAGCTTAGAAGAGATCCACCTTTCTTTTCTGCATGTCCTGCTTCCACTTGGGTTGTTGATAAAATGTCTCCCTAGTCATGCCCAGGACTGTCTGGAATTCGGCATCCGATAAGTAGGCCTGCAAAACGCAAAAGGTTACAACAGCTGAATAGAATCTATGGTCACCTCTACATCTTTCTTCATCAAAGAACCACCGGGAAGGAAAAATTATTTGATTTATGTACCTCTCTTCGTTTGTAATCGATTCCTGTGACAGGATTGCTGGACTTGACTTTCAAGCACTCATAACTGTATGTACTTTCAGCCCCATTTTCATCTATCTTTGGTTCCTCTGTCACCTCAGAATCTTCATCATTGCTTTCTGACGCAGATCCATCTCCTTCTATGGCTTCCTTCTCTGCTAAAAGCTCAAGAGGTTGCTCAGATTCTGAGCTTGCACTTTCAGTCTTGGTGGAATCTGCAATAGATAATCATAATCAGAAAAATTCTCATTACAAATGCTAAACTTTATATATCTTTTGTGTCTTGTAGGTCTTTGATCTCGTGTAAAATTATCATTGGTTTTTGATTAATGACTCAATGGAGACAGCAAACTGGAAAGTTTGCTAAGGCAGTGACTGTACTTTCTTTATTTCCTTGTATGAAACATTTGGTGTCTCGAAAATATTTATTTCTGAAAATGAAACTCAATGGACACTTTTAGAAGAAGATTTATCTTTGTGAACTTGTTCTAATACATGGTATGTACTGTAGGGCAGCTACATTTAGCATAGAGAAACATGAGAAATAACCTGGGATGGATGATAGACATTACCATTAACAGTCACACGTGGACCAGGGGAAGGGCTTCTGCTGAATCTTGTTGTAGAGGTTTCTGATTCTCCCCTTTTTTGCTCAGCCGTTAAAACTGAAGATAGTGCAGCAACTGCAGCTGCTCGCTGTGACCCTTGGCCTGATCGTGAAGGCCTCGGTGCTGTAGCTTTGGCATTTGAAGATGGATTAAATGCAGATGAAAGTGCTGCAAGGGCTGATGCCCTTTGAGTGGGTCCATCATGATCCGCACTGACAGATTTATCTTTAGACTGAAGCAAATCATAGGCATGGATAGTAAGTGAAAATGAATCATCAAATGTTTTCCTCTCTGAGATGCCAGAAATTTAATTATTTATATGCATCAAACTATACATTGTCAAACATATTCTACCCCCAATTAAAACCCCGAAGCTAATATGCTCAACTAACATACAAAAAGTTGCCAAATGTAATTTGCAAGCTAATGTGACCAGGAAAACATAACAAGTTTAATGTTGAAAATGGAAAGGTTAACATGCTTTGCAAGAAAGAAAGATGCACTTTGGCTTCTTATTTGTTTCAAGCAGTCACAAAGGTTAAGAGGATGAACTATGAAGACCAGTAGCACTGGGAATGACCAGGAAAAAAACAATTCCTTCGTAGTTTGATTATTTGCACTTGCTATTGCTGATTTGGCATTTGCGACATTTGGTCCTCAGTTGCCCTAATGAAGTGCGTGTGTGTGTGTAAGAGAGAGAGAGAGAGAGAGAGAGAAGAGAATAGGGTGAGACATAGAAAGAATAGAGAAATGTAGAAGGAAGGGTAAGTAAGGATAAATCCAATAAATAATATTGATTAGAATCCCCATTTTCTTGCACCTCAACTATTTATAGATATAAACCAAACCCATAAGCTATAGGGCCCACCCTCCAACTACAAACATAAACTAGTCAACCAACGTTGAATCTAAGGTTTGTCATATTGAGGCATACCGCTCAGTATGGGCGGTACATACTAGTCCAACAGAGAACTGATACGGGCAATACATTGGTATGTCCCATCATACCGTGTGTCAGTATACTTAGTATGGTTCGATACATACTGTACTGATAGTTGGTCGGTACACCGATACGGACCGATAAGACGAACTATGACTGAATCCATTAATTAATTAGAGAGAACCCTAACCCAACCATGGATGGTGCACGGGAAGGAGTGAGCAAATCTAACAACCGTAAATCAAATAGTTATATTATTAAGTTTTCCAAATAATTTCTTCAATGAATCTTATACATGTATCATAAAATTTATAAAAATAACATATATAATATTTTCTTTTTATTCTTTTGGTTACAAAATCAATGTTTTTAAGCAATCCTAATCTGATAAGTGATTCTAAGAACAATACTTATCCTGTGAATCAAGGTTCAACTGAACTTCTCATACCATAATTCCCCTCATTTTTGACAACTTAATGGAGTCAATGATGGACTTAGGTATTGTGATAAGAAAAGGTCATATTTCTTCTATTTCTACATTTTCTTCTCTTCATCTGCTTTGTTCCCCTTCCACTCCTCTACTAGCAGAGCTGAAACACCTATGCCTTTATCATGGATAAAAAGGAAAAATGAAAAATAACTTCTTGCACTATGACACAGAAGATGGCAATGAATCAATCCACTTTGTCCTTTCTAGTTTCTAATATAATTGAGTAACAGATGATAAAAAGTTTAAAAGATATATTCCTAACCTAAAGGTGCTAATGACATTTTTGAGCTCTTAGCTAATTTGGTGTCATCCAGGACTGCGGATGAAAGTTAGTCTGACCATCTTAAGATATGAAGCCTCTTTTACCATTATTAAAAGATGAAGTCAATATGTTTTGTGGAAAACTTCGTAATAATAGAAAAAAGGAACATACAATGATGAGTATCAACTATCAGTAGCACAAGAGAAGGCCAGGTGTCAACATGAGAAGTCATGTTTATTTGTTGAGTAATCAAGGATCGGCATATAGTCAGCAACCATAAAGTCTTGGTAAACTTCAGATAATATTTTCACAGAACATGGCAGGTTCAACATGGTTACTGAACTAGTGAACAGTAGATATTTGAAGGTTAGTACTAGCAAACTAAGAAGTTTCACAAACAATGCTAAACATTTCAGATTTAAGAAGAAAACCCACTAATTACAGATTAAACACACATGAAATTATACCAAAAAAGTTTTAAACAAATTTGCAACCCTTTTCTAGTTTTCTTGTTGGAGAAGGACAACATAAAACTTGATCCTTTAGAACTACATAATTAGGATCCAAAGACAGGATTCAAATATTACCATTTTTCTCTCTTTTCTTTTTCTGGTTGCTGATGTTAGCTTGACAGTTAATTTTACTAAATGCAACTATATCAGTTAAAATCCTAATCCTAATGATAGAGCACTTATAGCTTTACCAGGACTTTAACTATGTAAATTTGGCTTAAATATTTACCTCTGAAGCAAGCATGGCAGCCCCAAATAGGTACGATAGTTTCTTCTGGAAAGAATTTCCTTGAACCTGCATGATATGGAGAAGCAGTTTGTCATTTTTGCCAATATGAAGTTTATGAAGTACATACCAGAAAGCAGAATAAGTTACTCTCCTTTGCACAACAAGGATTTATATCAAAATAAGCAAGTGGCGCAAATCAATGACTTAGCTTGATGCCAAGAAAATACATTTTTTTTACATGTACTTGTTGTGCAGTATAATTATACATAGCATTTGGGAGACAACGGATGCATAATAAAAGAGAACATGATGGCTTCGACAATACATATACCTTTCTCATTGATTGAGTAAAAAATAGATCTAAATCCACCGTAGAATTTTTTCCCCAAGTCCAAAGGAAAACAACAACTATAGCAAGATGGATAACCAGTAAAAAGGATGGCATTCTAGGTCTACACAAGGATCGAAGTCGCCTCAATCAGATCCAAGACCGAGGATGAGTCTACTCACAGAGGAAACAAAAGATGTTATTTAACTTTGGTTAAATCAAATTGTTGCTCAGTATAGTCTGTCATCATAAGTTACTTTACATAAGGATCTCCTATTTATCATATATAATCACATGATTTTGGTCACAATGTATGTTACTAGGGAAGCATAAGGTTACTTTCCGTAAGGAACCTTTAAGGAGGGATATTGGTCCAACTTATTCAAAGGTCTTTGTTAAACCTCTACTTTAGAAGCTTAAATCACCTGTTCCCTCTTTTATTTTGGTTCCTTGTAAATTTCTCAAACATTATGTACATCTTTCAACGCATGACATCTAACGTTTCCAAACTTAGTTGAATAATTTATCCCACCAATATGAGCTTATTCAATTAAATTGAGATTGAAGAGACAAAAACAAATTCTCCAAAAAAGGGGCAAAGTAAAGCACAGGAGACACAAGACATACCACAGCCTTTGCACTGTCCCAAGAGAAATATGTTGTAAAGAAACATGGTTCATTACCCTCCGTGATTCTATAAAGTGGTACATTTGGGGATAAACCTTCTAGCAGCACTGCAAGCTCTATGTATTTCTAGGAAAAGAAAAGTTTGGTAGATTAGAGTAATGCAATAGCAAACACTAGTAATACTATAGTACAAATAAAAAGAAGGATAACTGTTTATACCTGTCCTATATCAAATGCCTTTTGCTTCTCGTTGGGATCCACAGAATGTCCAATCCATACGAAGACCTCAGCATGGCTGTCAAGTAGCAACATGTCTTCAGTTAACATATCGTCTTGAGAATAATTGAACACTTCAAACACCTGCAACAAGGGGGAAATATACAAGCAAGATGAGTAAAGGCACTGGGTATGAGTTTCTCCATCAAATGTTACACTTGGGAGCAGTCACATACCTCTATCTTTCCTGGAGAAGCATTGTTTGACAACAAATGAACATAAAATTTGAGATTATTAGATTATGAAAAAGGATCAAAATATGTCAAGACTTGGAAATTGTTCCAAATTTATATTTCTGGAATCAATCCAACCTTTCTTAAGTGAAAATGTATACAAGTGAGGATCTCTAACAACATCTTGCGTGATCTTTTTGCTGGTAAAACTTTGCTTCCCACCAAGAGCAAACCAGAAAGCAGAGCTTTCTGTTCCCTCCTTGACATACTTCAGTGTGACACCTGGCTGCAGAATAAAGAATAATCTTATTGATTTGTGATGTTGGAAAAAACATTTATATGTATATATGTATATGTATACAAGCATATATATAGATACAGTAACATAGCAAAGTACCACAGAAAAGTAAAGAGATACTGTCTGCAATTGCAGAAGTCCTTGAAAAGCTTCCCAAGCCAGACTCTGGTGTCATTGCTAACCAATTCACAAACAGGGCAAAGAAAAAGTGGTTTAAATAATAAGCCAAAATCTAAACCGGGCAACCCTTCTCATTTCTTGTTTGGTGACATTAGAAGATCATTCTTTCATACCTAAATCCTACACATAGATGTCAAATGTAGTGTGGTTATGCAAAGACCCAAAACAGTAACCACTGGTGGACAGACACAAAATGGGTTTGAGCAATAATATACCAGAACTAATTCCCAACAATCTGCACCAAAATCTATCAAACTTGAACCATGCCACAATGAGAGGCAGCCAAAATACAAACTTCAATCGAACTATGTGGACATATTAACTGGAAAGGCAGCCAAGTACCAACTACAACCCAGAAATTTTGCAAAGATGGATTAGTTCAACCTCAAAGTAATCTATGTGTGCTACATACTATTTCCACTTTCCATTGACCGATGACAAAACTGTCAAATGAAAGAGAGTATCGCATGTTGGCTTCACATGGGATAAAAAGGATAACAATGAACCAAGAGATCATACATTATTTGCATACTTTTACCTTTAAAAATTCTGCAATTTTTGCAGCCCAATGTTGATGTTCATGTGTACTTGAACTTCCATTCCATATGAATAGTGAATTCCCAGATTGCAAAATAAAACAATCAGTGGAACATAATGATGTTGCCACCTAAAAACAAAAAAGATTATATGTCAGTGTAATTGTAGTGCTTAGTTATCTAATGTATATTCACATGCAAGTATAAAGACTATTCCAATGAAATCTCAAGCCAAATGAGAATGATGCTTTTGTTAAATAAAAATGAAGATTAACAGGTTCTCTTGTGCTCATCTGCCAAGACAGCTTAATGTGTGGCTGGACCACCTTAAAAAGGCATTGATGCAGCCGATTATTAACCGAAACCTTTGAGGAGCGTCAGGTGTCAGGTTATATATTTTTGTGCTTCTCCTTGGTGAACTAACCTTCTATTATGCATTCAACCATAGCTCCAAAATGTCCTACTTGTGGAAATTTATATATTGCTTCTCCAGAATATTGCTTTGGACAATCAGCCAGTAACAATGTATCTGATAACTTCATTTACAAATTTTAGGTGCCCTCTGACATAATGCTATTGTCTCAGGTAAATGTGTGTTCACAAAGCCTAAGATGTTTTGTATGTAACTGCTCTTCTTAGATAACAGAATTGGAGGACATTTTTGATTAAATGAATAGGTACATGTATAAAACCGTGAACTACTCCAAAACATTTGGTTCAACTTTTCATCCACTAAGCCGAAACATTTAGTTATTATTCCAGTTGGCTACTGGCTTAAGTTGTGACAAGTGAGACTTGATGGATAAATTAATTAGCATAGGAACTTGAAAACACTGTGACTTAGAAAGCTAAAAGGATTCTATGTCCAACAGACAGGATAGATGTAAAGTTTTTCCTTGTACCATATAAACCAGAGATAGGCAAAAGGGGAAAATAATTCGGCTCAGACAACAATAATAATTTTGTCACTTGCCCCTCTAATTAGTTAGTCATAATTCAGCAGCTTAGTTTTAAAATTCACAAAGTCACTTTTCTTTCATAAACTTGCTACTCATTAGTTCTTGTTTCAAGCTATTTCAAATAGACAAACTAGGTTAAAATATAGCAAGTAATATATTAAAGGCACTTTCATGATTTTGATAATTTCGATTAGGAAAATGAGGCTACCTGCCCATATCAGATATGGTTCCTGTGCTAGAGAGGTTCTTGGGAGCTCAAAACTTTGTTCATCCACAAAGGCTTAACATTAAATTTGACTCAAGAAGCTTCCTATAGACTTAACCAGACAGGTAAGAGAATAATGGAAGCTACTCCATTTAAATTCAGTGATAAAACAATCATTGATTATGTTTAAATTTAACACGATCATTATTCATCTCCTATCATATTAATTTTTTCTTTTTCAACTGCAATTACTCTATGGGTTTCATTATTAGTTTAAGAATATTATGCTAAACTTTATCTTTTATAGTTTATGCAGAATACCAGTTTGAGCAATTAAAGTGTAGATATTTACTCTGGCCAACACAGAATGGTACATGCTGAACTGTGCCAAGCAATGCCAATTACACCAACAAATGGTCGGGCTAATTTTTCCATGTGCTGGTCAACAAAGACAGCATGTTGACTGGTGACATGGTACATGCAGTGTCACATTAGCATCATCATATTTACTCTTACCACAAAACCAACAACCTCTTGTCTCATACATAATGATATAATTCTGATAATCAATTATTTGTTTTCTGCTTCCGACAGCCGCAGATGACAACTTACGCATAAACCAAGTTTTTGTTACATTATTTTATTTGTGTCATAATTGAGGATGCAGAAGGTTCAAATTGATAAAATATACTAATGTATAAGATTCACAAGATCATACCGCATCAACTTGAACTGCTTTATTGTTGTGGACTGATGTACCAGATACTTGGATTAGTGCAATGCCATCAGAAGTATAAGTTTCATCATTCTGATTCTTCTCTGCAATGAACGTCTTATAACCGGAACTAATTCCACCCTATGCAAGAAAGAAAAAACATTAAGTGAAATAAAATAAGTAAATAACCCCTCTCTTTATGCGATAAAAGGATGACACTAACAGGTCTGAAAAGCGTCATATGAATTCCCTACATACCAGATAGAAATGATATAAGTATCATACCTTCAAAAGAACCAGAGGCTGAAAGAGTGCAACAAATTGTGGTGGTTCCTTCCCTTGAAAAATGCGACCCTGCAAGAGGCATACTCAATAAACTTGCTTCTGCTTCTCATCTTCTGAATAAAATATCAATAACAAAAACCTGCACTGGTCTTCCTTTTAGGGAAGTCCACATAGTAGTAGCCAACTGAGTAGCCATAATTTGATCATCCTGAAAAGAAACAATATCATGTTATTTGCACCAAGTGAACCAAGCCTAATTAACAAGTTAAGTGAACTGTTCATGCAATATTAGTTATGAAACTCTTGGACCTAGACATGCAACTATGTTGGGAGTAAGATCTTGCACTTAAACCTGGAATGTCAATTAAGTTTGTGTAGATGATTAAGAGAAACAATTCAGGATATCCTGAGGCTTGCTGAGATTCATAAAAGAATATGGAAAATTCATAATGACTGAGATGATAAATTAGGAGGACACTCATAAAAAAGTGTCATTTGTAGCAACCCACTAATCCCTGCATCTTTTCCACGTGTGGCAACTGCCTTTCTCGTGTGCACTCCCTGTTTGTAAAAGCTATCCTATAGGATGAGAGAGTCTTGGTTCGAGTAAGGAAGAAAGGTTTCCAATCCTATCAAGGCCACATCAGGTTTTTTATCCTTGGGCACACAGATCCCATCATCCAACAAACAACCAGGTGGGGTCCAAAATCGAGAACCAACCAAAAGAACATATGAGAAGGGTAGAAGCAATCTCAGGGGCATTTTGAAGAATTTAACTTTTCTCTAGTCTAGATAGAGTATACAAGTTAAAAGTACAAACGAGGGAACCCTGTAAACCCCTAAGAACATAGAGGTACCATCATCCTTTTTATTTTTCCCAATAAATTTTACAGCATTTTTTAGCAATTAAATAATTTAGTTTTCTACATGTTAGATTTTTTAGGAGTATAATTTTTCTGATATTAACTCCCAATAATTTGGTACCAAAATGACACTAAGCAAGCAATCCTATGAGGTCCTACACCATTGACCACACTGAAGAATCCTCCATTAATGTCAAATAGATTGGAGAAGAAGCCTTGTTTTAACACCTCGTCAAAACCATGTTCAGCCAATTACAACTAAATTTTTTTATATTAACTTTGAGGATGCACCATCACAAGATAAACAATGAGGTGCACAATGTAAAGACATGCCACATCTATGCATGATCCAATTGGCAATAGTATCATGCCCCAAGGTCCAACAAGGCATGCCATGCCACTAATATAACAAAGTGTTATATTCAATACTTATGTCACTTTAGGCAAGAAAATCTTGGATGCAATGGCGTAAACTCCCGATCAACAAGTGTAGAGGAAGGTCATTTAGCCAGCACTTTAGATTTACCTATAGTAGTTTCTCTTGTGAGAGGATTAACTGATAAAAGCTAATTTGTGCCATAGCAAGCATCAATTAATATGACTATAATTATAAATTTCTAATCATGCTTCTGATCAAGATTACAGATTTCAACAAAACAGATTGGGTATGAATTGGTATTTATTGTTCCGACAGCCGATTGGTACATGGACTAGACAATTTTTCATGTGGTCTGAGACTCTGAAATAAAGCTTACCATCCGGTAAGTTCACTGTATCAAGTATATTGGACGGTAAGTTGATCATTATGAAGCTTTGCCAGACAATAAGCCTACCATTTGGCAATAGCATTAACCCTTTATTCATGATCTTGGACCATGTTGGACAAAGCCTAGGGTGGTAATACTTAAGCTGTCAATCGCTACAAAAGCAGAAGACAAAGGGTCATGAGAAAAAGTTTATCATAAAATTGGATATACATCTAACAGTAACACAGATAAATTATGTCTTGAAGGGTAAAGATCCATATAAGAGTTAATTACATAATGACTTCAATGGAAGAAAATTTCTTTTCTTTCCTTCAAAGATATTTGCTCATTGCTACTTACCTGAATGCTATCCTTTCCCATCCAAGAGGTTAAGAAGTAGTCCTCTTTCCTCTCACCAGAATGATATGTATAGAGCACAATATAACAATCTCCGCTATAGAATTTACCAATCTCTTCTTTTGGAACTTGATTCTTGGCACCATCATCAATGCGCCATACCTGCAAGTGATTTCATAACTTAAAAATTCAAAGAACAAGCACCATCTAACTTCATATGCAAGAATCTACAGGCAAAAGATATAAAAAGAACCTCAAGTTTTCCACTGCCTTCAAGCAAGGGAGGAACTTCTTCATTTTGCGGAGAGCCTTTTGTGATTCCCTTGAAATCAACACCTTTCTGCTTTATCAAAGCTACCCAAACACAACATAATACATAATTATGAAGAATGGACAATATATTTAGTCAGTGCCTTTACAGAAGATTTTACTCTTACCTGCAACTTTTCCTCGTCCTTCCTCTCCACCTGAATTTCCTGTCACTGTACTAGCAGGCCATGATTCAAAGTTGGATTTAAATGCATGTGTTTCATAACCTTGAATAACTTGAGTAACATGCGTTGTTTTGGGTCTGTTTTGACTGATGATGAAGTCCTAAAAGGAAAGGCCATTACGGGCACCAATTTGAAAGCACAAAAGATCAGAATTAGAAAATTAACAGAAAAATAATACCTCAGCAGCTTTACTGGCAGCTTTTCTCTCTTCAATTTGTGTAACACGGCCAACCCAAATAAATATCTCAGCCCCACAATCTAGCAAATAGCATTTATTGTTCTCCAAAGTTGCTTTAGAGAGTGTGTTCTCTTCCAACTTCAACTGACCATCATTGATACTACAGAAGTACTTGTATATTACAACTTGATAGCATAATTAACTTTATATTTGTACTAAAACTTGAAATTAGCCTAGATGAAAACTACATTCACAATGGGATAGCACCAAAAGAACTAAGACCTAGACTAATGCATGATACTGTTTTCTTTTTACTGAAATCAATGGTTAATAGAAGAATCTGGCATCAAGAATCCCATTCAGTGTATTGTTGATAAATGTCTAGCATGCAGTCTTTCAATTACAAGGATATGAAAGAACAGATCCATCATTGTCTAGAATATTTGATATGCAATATTAACACACGGCAATTCTCATTTCTGATGTAAGAAAAACTACAAGGTAAAACATAATTTAAGTCTTGGAATGGTCAAAAACATGTGTAGCTGGAGAATGAGACTACAAAATTAATTTGTGCTGAAAGTAAATGAGAATCATGGTCCCCAATGCTTTGTGGATCATTTTTCACCAAAGACAAGGGAACCACCTCTCTTTCCTTCTTGTTTTTCCTGCCAAGACTTATTTTGAGTTACAATGAACCTCTTTCTACCTTAACAGCATTTACACAACAAAGGTGATTAATGAGCCACCAGCTGCCTAAAGCATAAGAAAACTCTCCAAAGAGATAATCATAACAAATCCTCTTCCAACAGATCACTTTAAAGATCAGAAAAAATGTTGGTCACCTGTTCCTGCCACTGCCTGTTTGGTCATATGCAGGTCTTTCAATGGTACAGATCCATTAGATTTCTTTATCTTCCTGATCAGATCAGAAATTCTTTTCTTTTATGTTGGCTTCAAATAAGACTCATTTTACCTACACTTATGTCAACAACTGTTCTTAGCATTCATATAACATGTGTTACCTTACTTGACAACAGATTGATCCATTTGCAATAAGATCACAGATTGGAGATCATATATATCTCTATCGGAATTTCAAGTTATCTGATTTCACATGTATTTCGAAAAGGCTACTTTAGAGGTCCACCATGCATTATAAGGATTCACCTTCTACATCGCAAGATTGCCCCCCCTCTAAACCTAACACATCACCACAAACAGGAAACACTACAGCTATTTAAGTTTGGTGGTTACCGATTCAATGATAATGATAGAAAGAAATACAGGATTCTCAAATAACAACAAAAAAGTAAAGATTCCCAATCTTATTGGAATAGTCAATTTCATTAAAACCCAAAAATTTCTTTTCCCTAGCATGAGCTTTTCATAACTGAAGTTTCTAAATAAACACATGGATGAGAAAGAGTATATACACAAACAGAGTGATGACAAAAGCTTATAAGTAAAATAAAAAGATACATGAACAAATAGATTCCCATAAGCTAATTAATTATCGACAGATTATGGCTCATGAACAAAAGTTATGTACTTGAGGAAGGTAAGTTATTTGAATCATCTTTGCAAAAGAGTTATTCTAAAGAGCAGCCCAACCCACAAGGCTCCTAACGATATAGGATCTGGGAAGGGCCAACATATGCAAGCTTACCCCTAGATAAAGAAGTCATTTCACTGAAAAAAACTTAGCATATAAAGCAACTTGGGAAAAATTAAATGATTCAATGCTAGGATAAAAATCGCTTTCATATATGCTCACCAATTCCCACTGAAAACCATTTTTGTATAGGAGGCACAGATAGTAGCTAAAGATCTAGTCAAGCAGCAACTATTGAAATTATTGAAGCTAGAGTTTTGTATGACAGCATAAATGCTCAGCATATAGTAGGGAACTCGAACAAGCACCATGCATAAAGAGTTAAAATATATAAATAATACCTGTAAAATTTTGCAGGAGCCATTTCTAAGACAACATCATCTTCATTGACTACCTTTTTGCCAATTGGTGCAAAGCCACCAAAAAGGACCCAGAATTCACCGGAGTCTGACTCAGCTTGGAGCTTCCCATCATCTTACAATGCAAAGTTGTAATTAAAACGAAGAAATATGCATAAATGTAACATATATTGTCCATAAGATATAGGTCTCTTACCAATAATTGCAACATCACATGTTCCTTCATGGTACTTGTCCTTCAAATATTGTACTACTTCTAAAGCTTTAGCTCTTTCTTGGATATTGGAGTTAGCACCATTGAATTGATATATTTTCATCTCAGTATCCAAGATAAACACATCATCATGATTCAGTGATGACCGAGCAAATGGAACCTTTGAAGACAATTTTGGAAATCACCACATGCATGCAACACAATTTTGCACATCAAAACTAAATAAAAGCTACAGGAAAAGATTCAGCACCTGCTTCATTCTAACAACACGTTTTCCTCTACAAACATATAGCCGTGTTTCAAAAACTTCCTCTTCGGGCTTTTTGAATCCAGAAGCAAATCCTCCTTCCAAAGGTATAATGCAAGGCTTGAAGTATGACAAAAACTTATCAGATTCATAGCCTTGAAGTTCCCTGTGCTGGACAGCACGACCTCCAAGAACTGCATCAAGTTCAACTGTCTTGATTGCAGCAGTCCCAGCTTCATCCTGTGAGAATTCACAAACTTAATAATGTATCTGAACATATATCTTGTTTTCAAAATAAAAACATATATTTTTCTTCCATATCACTAGGCTTAAATAGCATACTTGGGTTGACTCTCTTCCAATCCAGAAGTGAATGTCATGAAGGTAAGCACCACCTTTGCCAGAAGTCGTCTGCAACAAGGGACACATCACATAAAAACAAGTATACTTTAGAGATTATAGCTAAACCAAGTGTACTTTTGTAACAAAGCCAAGTTTACTTCTGTAATAAAGCCAAGTTTCCAATGTGCAGCAGGTTTAAATTTATTCCTAACATTGAGTCACACTCCCATGAGTAAGAATATCTTTGGTGCAGTTGCAGAGAAAATATTGAATATCAAATGAATCCTCAGTTATGATTTAGGTTAAAAAGCCCCAAACAATGCAGTGAGATGGAAAATTCGTGAAAAGAAAGAGAACAAGTATCTCATGAACTCATCAACCTACTCATCTATTAACTTGGTGGAATGGACCCTAACCACATGCCTCTAAATGCTTAAGCCCAAGTCATTAATAGTAGCAGCCTCATTTAGTTGTACACACAACAATGTAAAACAGCAACATTACACCATTCAGGTCTTATTAGGTTTGACATCCTCATTAGCATATTTCATGCCTACATGGTTTTAGCAAGTGAGGGACTGAAACTTGAAACCTTACTCGCAGATGTGGTTGCACATCCTCCAAGTGTCTAATCAGTAAGATTATCTCACTTGCAAAGAGAAAAAAAAAAGATGAACCAAAATTTGACCTCAATCTCCAAGATGAGAATGCGATTGAAGAGGAAAATATCAGCTTTCGAGATCTAGATGAGGCTCTTGTCCTCCAAAGCAATCTAGATATTGCCCATGAAAAAGAAGATGAATGGCTACATAACAAGAATTTTCACACTCGATGCACCTTATTGGATACTCACTCACATTATGCTAAGCTAGACTACCACACTCCAGACAGCAAAATATGTTGCATATCACCTGATCCAATAATAAACTTTATCCAAATAAAAAGATAAAAGAACCAGAATATTTTATTCGATCAAGTAATCTTTGTTCAGGATAGTTTTCCAGTTGATAGATGAACAAATATATTAACTATAAACCTAGTATACATTGTTTTACAGACTACAAGCATAATCTGGTAGTGAGAGCTAAAAAAAGGCACTACTAATCTTGCATCTCCCAATAGTTTTAATTTCATTGCTCATGTGAAGGGACAAACGCACTGATCTTCAGACAAAAGTTTAAAAAATAGAGAAAGAAGCAGAAAAAAGGTACCTGTAAGATTATGTATGAATCTCCAGAGTAGAATTTACCATAATCAGTCTTCGGTAAAGGCACTGGTTGGAAGTTCTCAATCCGCCAGATCTCTGTTCCTCTATGTGTTGTTAAGCAATTGCTATGGCGGTAAACACTTTAAATGGAAAAAGGACACAGAAACTTTATGAAGTTAATGCTGAAACTAACTTGCTTTTTTCGTGTATTTTACAGTACTTATTAAAAGGATACACTTTTTGTCCAACTCCCTGGAATGCAGGATCAACATATTTTGTAGAACTAGACATTGTGCATTTGAAAGGCCTTCTATAATAAACACAAAGAAATTATGCCTTCACAATATCAAAATGTGCTTGGAACAGTCAATTATGCAACAAAGACACTCTGCAGAGAAAATTAACATAGTCATTAGTCAAGAACTAATATGTTCTGTGGAGAACTCTTCCACATCTTGTAACATGCAACTTCAACTACAGATTCAGCATTAAAGTGACAGACAACATGAGTCAAACGGTTGTGAAATGAGTAGACGATTGCAATTGCCAAGTGAGGTAAAGTAGTTAATTTTCACTGATTCATTCATATAGTCTGGTTCACAAGAGTCCTGAAAAAACACAGAAGCTTCTAGATTTAGTACTAGTGGTTTGGTCCATTGCCAATTTATATAGGACAAGGGAAATTCTAGGATCAGCATTGATAAATACTTTGGAGTGAGATTTATTTTCCTTTAGTGAAAGTCTACCACTTTATATTCCCTAACTTTTGTTATTCATTTAAATTCATAATGTTATCCCTATACCTGATAAAAGCATATATAACCTTCTCCTGAACTTTATGAATACTTCACTAAGCAAGGAAATTGAGCAAGAAAGAAGATGAATGAAGATTCCATCAGGCAGACAGAGCACAGATTATATAATGGAAGGTTCTAGAGTCATGTCTAGAATCCAGTGCATCAGGTAAATCCACTAGAGAATCTTCAGTTCTGAATTCTCTGGGTTGATGATTCTTCTAAAGAAATACCTATAGTTGTGTCAGAGAAGGTTCAAATGTCAGCAAGCTACAATCTTATGATCGAAAAACTAATAGATAAATGGAACAATCAAAGCAACCAAAGAATACATAACTCAAAATGGCAGTTAATTATTGTAATATTCCTATATGACAACCCACAATTAGCACCAAGGTCTGTGATACTGTCCAGTACAGTTCAGTACAGGCAGTGTTTGTCAGTCCAATAACCTTCCGATATGCGGACTAAGGTATTATTCATGCCCAGTAGAAGGCATAGCGTCCAGTATGGGCTTGTATTGCCCTGTACAGGCCTCATACCAAATAGCAACTTTTTATTTAATTTTTCAGCCTTTTTTTCATGGTTTTTCCGAAACTTGGTATGTACGAGTTTATGGACATAGGACACATTGGTACCAAATGGGTTTGATATCCAAAATTCAAAACACAGCTTAGCACATCATCTGCCAATTGTTTTTCTCACCTGTGTAGAACTAATAACAATGAACTGACTGCACTAGAGAAAACATCACATGGCCTGAGCATGAGGCAGTCAGCTTATGGTCTTACACCAATAGTCATCTGCAATCCAATGACATACAAACATTTTGATGGCAAATGGCAAATCTTAACGTCAAGATCAGTGAGAGAAGCAGTTTAAGTGGGTAGTTTTTGGTTTGTCGCAAGGTTCACGATTTCGTATACTCATACTGTATCGATCAGGGCTCAGACCAGTACAGAACCAGTCTGTACTGGTGTATTAACACTCAGGAAACTGATATGTACTGCATATCATCCGGTCCGTATATTGGTGACATGTCAGACCAATAAATACCACTTGTAACGAACTGTATTAGGCAGTATTCAAACCTTGGTTTATAGTGTCAGTAATTTTACTTAAGTACTTCAATTTATTTAAAGACGTACAGAAAGAACTTGGAAGAAGATTGTTTTAGACAACGCCAACCACATTGGCTTCTGTAGGGTCCATCAATTAGGATAAAGTAAATCTTAACTCAAAGAAGGTAATCCTATGATTTTTTATATTAATTGGCTGTATTTTGGTGTCAATAATTTAGCATTAAACATGTTAATATGAAATCACAACACTGATTGTGATGCTTGAGTATTTACTAAATAAAATTTCTTATAAAGAATTTTCCTCCTTGCCTTTCTTCTTTTTTAAATAAAAAAATATCGCTTTGGGTTTTACCCTTGGATAATTTTTTGTAAAGAAAGTGCAAAAATAATAAAATCAAATCTGATCAAAGAGAAACAAAAAAATATGGTAAAAAAGGTGTACAATGACAAAGAAAATTTAAATCAAATGTTGACAAGAAATTGTAGAGCTTCAACTTAAATGATTCTGAACTCTGAAATAGGCTAACTTTACAATTCCGCATTTGTAAAGACAAAACTGAGAAATTATAAATGGTCTTACTATATCAATCATAGCCAGCATTCATATCATCTGTCTACATCAAATTTCTGTAAAATCACTGTATGAAACTCCAACATTGTCTATCATTTCCAATGGAAGATGGATAATACGCAAGAAAACAAGAATTCAAAGGATACTCAAATTATTAGATCAATAATTTGAAAGAATCGTTTATTGCAGTCTTGAACTTTCACAAATTTAATCAAAGTATGACTATGATTAAAGCATGATAAAGACAAAGAAGCATTCATTAAAATGCCAATTGCTTTTAGTAAATGATGGCTGACAAAGTAATCCTAATGCAAGAATCCTTTTGGCATAGAGTTCATCACATCAACATTTATCACATATTGATAACAGGGATAATCCTAGTAGATAAGTAAGTTAGTTTGTTAATTAACTAAGTATGTCATCTTAGATTTGTGAATGATGAATCTTCTGTTTTCATCGAAGTTGTTCCTGACACACTGCAATTATGCCTACAAATGCCTCCACATCAGATATCTTACAAGTTCAGAAACAAAATAAAACAAAATGCCACATCTGAGTAGCCTCAAGGACAAAGACACGCTCATCTTTGGGTAGTCCAAACAGTTGGGGTTAGGCACTTGAAAAAAGGACCGAATAAATAGCAAACCATGAACAGCTAGCCGTATTGTGACATGTTTTGGAGCCACGTTATATAGGCTGTATCACAGGGAAAGCTAAGCAACATATGCAGACTATCGAACTAAGTAATCAGGCAAATTAGGAACGTAACTCGAATCTTTCACTCTTCATTAGTGAATCACGGTCAAGACATTCGCTCTTCATAACCAAATCAATGGTCCTAATAGCTGAACTCAGCTATACCAAAAAGGTCAACAATCATCAGTGCGTGATCCCATCAAGAAATAAGGATCCAACCAAATGGAACCAAAAATTCCATACATCCACCGCAGTTACATGCTACAATCAAGAGAATGCTAGAAATAATAATCGTCGATCAAATTCAGAGCTCACGATGAGAAGGTTGAGATTGCTCCAAGGGAAAGAAGAAGAGCGAGAGACTTGCGTGCGGAGAGGAGCGACGGAGCGCCTGACGCCAACGGCGACGAGATCGATCCACCCGAGGTGGAATCGAGATATAAGAGCGGAGAGGGGAGTGGCGGAAAGATCGGCTAACCTGAGAAGATCCGTGAGAGGTGGGGAAGCAATGGGCATCGACGAGAGAGGGAGAGAGAGAGGAGGAGGAGGAAGTTGCAAATGTGTGCCGTAGCTTCAAGAAAAGCGAACGAGTAGCGTCCCCGTTCGCGCTTTCGCCCCCCCCACCCCCAACTCCTCCACACGTCTCGCTTTTATTGGTTGTTATGCTCTTATTATTATTGTTGTTGTTGTTGTTGTAGTTGTTGTTATCATCATCATTATTAACTCATTCGAACGAGTTAACTCGATGACATGAATTAATATTTTTTATTTTTGTTTAGTAATTTACTAAAAAATACTCCTTGTTTTAAGTTAGAGTGCATTTCGTTATCCATAAAGTATTATTTTTCTAACATGCTTTAGTGATCCCAAGTTTACGTTTCGATTAAGGAATATAATTATTTTTCTTAATTAATTATAACATATGAATATTAATTATTATCCTATGACTATCACCTCATCACCATATAACCAATATCTTAGTATCATTCAATCGACATGTTATCCAATCATTATTATCTTAATATCAAGTAGATCAGGTGCTAATTCAACTAGTGTTTGATGTTGAAATGATACTATTAAGAACTTACTATAAAATTACTCCTTAGTTGTGTTTTGAGAGAGTTCTCATGACATGATTTTGCATGGTTCGATGAAGTTGAACAAGAACAGTGTTGATTAAAATTACCTTTAGACAAATGTGAAAATAGGATCTTGATTATTTTCGAATTAGCATGATTCGAACAATCAAAAATTGACATAACCATAGCAAAGATGGAATAGTGGATGTAGGTAGTTATTAGTTGGATGTTTTAAACTAGACAATAATCTTCTCATGCCATAGTATTTGATTTTAGATTTGCAAAAATATAATTATATTAGTATTTTATAATATGAAAAGATTAGGGGGTAGAATTTATTCTTCTATTAACATATTAATATTTCAAGAATCAAACAACATCATCATGTAGCTTTAGATTAGGTCATGGTTAATGTTCAAAATAGTTTCCCAAGTCGATCGACCATTATTAAACCATGAGATTATACATTGAATCTCATCAGAGTTCATATTTTTGGACAATGACTTATCTAGACATTAAGATTTCCAATTATTATCTTAATCGAAATGAGTTTTGTTATTAGCATAGAGTCAACATCCCTATCAGCACTATGTCATTCAACTTAAGGGATAAAATTTTATTATATTTTTATTACATAAGGATCTAGGATTATTTCTCGTCTAAAACTTGTACGAATATAATTATAAATTTTTTAAAGTATAATTAATTATTTTTCTTAATCAAATATGTTATAATTCTCTTTTACTCTGGTAGTGAGATGTGTTGAATATTGTAGTTCTCTTTTACTCTGATAGTGAGTTGTGTTGAGGATGATAGGGGAATGGAATGTGTTCTGATGTGATGGAAGAAGTGGCATAATTTTTGGGCATACTAACTTGGATGGGGGAATGTAAGGTGGGTGGCGGATGACAAGCATATCACTTAGCAAATGATTAGGACATTATAATGGAATATGGTAGCCTTTATTGTTTTCTTACTCCGTCTTTTTGATAGACAAAGAAAAAGAATGCAATGGTGGAAACACTCTTGTGTTTGTGGATAATAACATAAATGAGGAAAAATATTTATCCTTATAAATTACTCATAGTTGATTATTACATAAATATTTATACATTTTAATAAAAATATTTTATAGTTTTTTAATTTTTTAATGTTTTTTTTTTAAATTTAAACTAGTAATTAGCAGCTGAATTTTCTTTTAAATGTTGACAGGATGGGTATATGTGAACTAGACAGACACATTAATTTGTATTTGGTTTTTATCATAATTATTAGGAGGTGATGATGAGAAGATAAAAAAATAAAAAACATTCAAGCAAAGAAAAAACAAAAATATATAGAAAATGATATCACTAAATCCTTTCATTATTGCCCATCGTCATCCATCGCACACCTCAAGCACGTGTCATTGCATCTATAAGTAACTCGTTCTTACCCACCTTTGCCATCAAGAATACGTGTGTCAAAGGTCTTAAGCTTTTCTTCCTCGTCTCTCTTCTTCAGAAGAACATGAAAGGAGAAGATCTGCTTCTTTCTAGCTAGATTTAGATATATCTATGTAACTTGAGATCTGAACCAAAATGGGGACAGCTACTTGCTTGGATTTACTGGTTGCCATAATTCTTCCTCCACTTGGTGTCTTCCTCAAGTTTGGCTGCAAGGTAACACCAAACTCCTCTTTCTCTTTCTTCCCATCTCTTAAGTTTGTCTTTGCTCTTTCAATTGCCGTCGTATGAAAGATTAATGAGAAGGAACTTATTTCTACTTTCTTCTGTGTTGCCCTCTTTGGTGTGGAGCAGGTGGAGTTTTGGCTCTGCCTTTTGCTGACCATCCTCGGCTACATCCCCGGGATCATCTATGCCGTCTATGCCATCACCAAATAATTCATTTCTCGACGGGGAAAAGAAGGAAGAAATATGTACTAGATGAAAATGTTCCCCTTACTGGCGGTAGAAGTGAGGTTTTAACTGATGTTAATTGAAGTAGCAGCGGTGGAGATGGTGGAGCAGAGTGACATTTGAAATGTGTTTCTGTACTCTCCTCTTCTTTGCTGTATGATGGTGCTGCAATTGTTCGTTTATAGTAAAGAAAGCACAAAGTTTGGGAAAGAGAGAAAAAGCATTCTCGGTCTGTAAGGCTCTTCTCTCCCACAATTTGTTGTTGAGCTACTCTCTCTCTCTCTCTCTCTCTCTCTCTCTCTCTGAAGCTTCAAAAAAGTAGACCACAGTTTTTGGCTTTAAAATCTCACCATGGTCATCGAGAGCATCCACGGGGAATTGTTATTACAACCTGTGGACCTTCTGCTCTCCTTCCTAAGATGCAGAATTATATTTTGTTTCATCTTAGCTCTAAGCACAGACAGATCCACAACAGTGAGGTGAGGACATACATACGAAGGTGCGCATTAGAAGTGGCACAAGTGCATCCTCACTTACTCGTGAGCTGGGAATGATGCCATATCATTAGATGGCCTCGACTTGTCAAGGATGGACCACATAACTCGAACGTCCTCGTACGTGCATGCCATCACTTCCCCATGAAGCTTCACGATGCTGCTGCGATCATGTCCTGAAAGCAACAAAGTTGCCTATCATATATCTGATGGCTGCACAACACTAAGCATAAAGCTAAGTAAGCATGCAAGTGCACACATGAACCTGTGGGGGTCTTCTTCTCTCTAGGTGAGGAGTTGAAGATAGTGCAAGCTTTTCTGAGAGGAGATGTGATGCTGCAAAACCAAGAACCCATATGTGTTCTTTTCTCAGAATCACTTTCCATCATATGATCCTGCTTGGTTTATATATAGGGGAAAAGATATGAACAGTGGGAGGCAAGATCCACCAGATGAGGTAGCTACAATAGATTTGCTTGCATGGGCACATGCAATGCTTCTTGTTTATTGAACTCATCATATGGAGTAGCACAAGAGTATCAATATATGAGTAGATCAGTAGAGCTGGTAGTTTGCTTCAAATTCAAGGGTAGATGTCAGAAACATGTATACTATAGCCTTGTGATGCATCAAAGGATATATTAAAAGCATTATCTAATTCATGCAGAGAACTTGACTTGAAGCAACATCAATAGTGTATCATTGAAGAAGATGAACTGCTCTTTATCTGGTCTACTGATTGCTAATTTCTTAAGGCAATCGATCATTATTTTTCTTCTCGTGATTGCCACTAATTTATTGTTCTTCAAATGTGATTGGGTCCAATAACTTGGGGGTTTGCAAACATATGTACTCTGTCAGGAGTCCAACATAAGTTACATATTATCTTAGCAACATCAAAGATGAACAACAATTGCTTTCTCATGTAAGGAATCAATCATTATTTTTCTTCCAATGATTGGCATTAGTTTATTCTTCAACAAGAGATGGCTTCCCCCATGTGACATGTTTTTGTCACATCAACAGATTCCTGGCATGTGGTACGCAGGACATCCAAAGAAAGTTAGGGTTCCACCAAATGCTTATGTTCCTCTCAATGAAGAAAACAAGTTGCTGCAGTAGTGCATTGAAGAATATAAAACCTTTTACTGCCATTGTGGACGCACAGAATCCACGACAGGAGTGTGAGGAATTAAGTAATGGGAACAATAGAGGGCTCATCTAAGGGTATAATTCAATTTTCTACTTCAACATGATCAATTATTCAATCAAATGAAAAGATCCATGAAGATATTATTCATAGAGTAAAAGCAAGATAATTAAAATGACAAGGGTCAAAAGTCTTGTGTGATTATCAGATACTTTTGAAACTAAAAGAAAAAATTTATTAGATAATTGTGAAACTAACAATACTTAATGGATCTGAGTGTTGGACAGTTAAGAAATAACATGTGCAAAAAATTGTGTTGTCGATACGAGAATATTCAGATGGATGTATAGAGCTACTAGGAAAGACAAGAAAAAATATATTCTTGTCGTGAACAACTAGATATCGTTTCGATAGAGAATAAGATGAGAAAATCATTTAAGATAGTATGCCCATGTGTTTATGGTACCTCGGATGCGGTAACTAGAAGAGGTGAAATGATTAATATTAGTGATACGAGAAGAGATAGAGAAAGATCTAAAAAGACTTTAGCAAAAACTATAAATAAAAATTAAAGTACTCTAAACTTAACTAAACATATGATTTTTACAAATTTTAATGACAGCGTAAAAAGTCCATGTAGTTAACCCCAGATAGTTGGATTTACGGTTTGGTTGTTGTTGTTGTTGTTGTTTCCTACTTCAACATATGAAATCTTCGTCCAAAAGACCTAGAATGTTTAGAGAGGTTTGAACCAAACCATTAAGGGTCAAATCAAACCAAACTGAAAAAACGATTTGGTTTGATTAAAGCAAGATAATCTGAACCAGAACCATGTCGGACCTACCTAACCGAACCAATTCAAAACCAATTAACTGATTTTCAATTTTAAGTAATTTAATATATATATATATATATATATCAAATGAACTGGTTCGGTTCGATCAAAAAACGATTTGGTTCGGTTAAAGCAATGTACTCCGAACCGGAACCATTTCAGACCTGCCTAACCGAACCGGTTAAAAACCGATTAACTCATTTTTAATTTTAAGTAATTTAATATATATATATCAAATAAACTAGTTCGGTTCGGTGAATCAATTGAGTTTAATCGAACCAAATCAAAATTTTGATCCAATTGGACCTACATTCTTAAAAAGTTTATATCATAAATTTCATTCTAAACAATTGCACCTATGTGCAAGTGGTTTTTTAATTTTTATTGAAAGATGCCCCCAAAGGAATAACGACTTCACATGAAGTCTTTTTTTCTTGATGATGAGGATATGCAATGATACGGACAAATCAACAGAGGAATTTATACAAATCAATAAAGGGATTGTTAACGAAGAAGGATGACAAACATATAGGGTTCATACCTGAGACGAGAGAGCTAGGCCAAGAAGGGGACGATGAGGAAGAGTCGTAGAGATGAAGGAAGAGTGGTGAACTTATATAGAGTTTGGGAAGGGATTTTAGGGTTTTTAGGGCCTTTGGGTTGAGTTGATATTTTTTTAATTAAAATCAGTTCAGTCCGAACCGGTTAACCGAACCATAGAAGAGTACCCCCCACCTCCCCTCCCCCCCCCCAAAAAAAAACTAGATCATTTATAGACTTCAAAATCGGATTATTGATAAAGCAATCGATTTAAAAATGGTTCGATTCAGGTTTGGTTCAATTTTTCGATTCGATTTGAACACCCATCAATCCAATAATGACTTCATACCAACTAATAGTAATGCATCTATCATACTCATATCAGTGAATCTAAGTCTTTATTCACTTTCCATGTGAAAATAAACCCCTCCCTCTTGCCACTGCCTGTTACCGCCTTAGCAGCCACAACTGGTCTAGCCAGGAGACCTCATTACATCGGTTCTGCTGTTGCAGTGGCTAATGTCATATAATGCAATCTCCCAAGTTTGTCCATCATGTTGCAGTAAGATTTATATAGAGAGCACAAGGAATTAGATTCCCCATCCACTTGGCTGGCGCTCTCATTGCCTTGCATACTTTGGAAGGATGTGGCATTTGAGAATATTGTTGATGGATTAAGTCACAAAAATTATGTTCATCCAAAAACAATTGAGGTGTCTAGATTTCCTATCCCAGAATAAAGATGAATTAAGACCACAGAATGAATTGGTTGCATGGATGTAGACAAACAGAATATGTAGGTTGCTCACTATATCTGTGTCCTAAAAATGCTAGCTTATCATATATTCATATGCTATTTCATCGATGCATTCAGATAAATTATGTACATGAGAAGACAAGCTTCCAATTGACTGCTGTAGGTAACAAAGATGTCAAGCTGTGAACTATAACCAGAAGAAAGAACGAATCTTTTTGAAGCTGCCTATGTAGGACATTTAAAGAATGAATAGTGAAAGTAATTAAGAAATTGAAAGTAGTCCACAGAAAGATTGGACTGTAAATGTATATAACATGCATGCACTCATAAGGAAAGCTAGGAACAATTTAAAGAATGAATGGTACCTCCAAAACCCTTTCTTATGGCCCATCATAGTTGTCCTTCAGTCAGCTGTGACCGCCAGCAGTTCTCCTTGTCCATGATTAAGAATCACAATTTAGTCACAGAGAATACTAGTCATCCTTATCTGGCTAAATTTGCAAAATTAAGCTAAATCTTTTAGCAATAGTAGTTGAGAAAGTTACACAGGCATGAGTTGAAATGAAGCAGAGAAATGAGCAGCAACATCTGAAAAATGTTGGTCTTGAACCAGTAGAAATAGATTAGTAGATAGTCTGAAGAGGGATAATACCACAATGAGGATGATGGTAAAACAGAAAATGAGACTGTTTATTAAACTAGAAAGTGGTAGGTCAAAAATTAGAGGAACACATTTTTGGGGTGAAGCTGCAAATAAAAAACATCATACCAGTAACAAATGTGATTTTCCATTCCATTTCTGCTAATCTATTTCTTCAATAATTCTTATGCAAATACAAATCCATACAGTAAAGGGATGTAAAAAAATCACATTCATAATGGAAATTTGACTGATTTCATCTGCATGATAAGATGTAAAAGAAGAAAGTTGAAACTTGAATTTGACACTGTAAACAAAGATGATCTGGACTGGGTTTACCTTACAGGCTAAATATACAGCAATTCTCTTTCATATTATTGCTTCCTATATTTGATATGCCACCACAGACCACCTGCCAAAATAATTTTCTGCATACAGAAGGAAATCAATCAAATTGATTTGCAAAATTTTAAAACTCAAATCCCTTCCAACAAGCAGGAGAAGTCAAGGACTGGAATAGATCTGGTCTTTCTGGAATTATTTCTCAATGTTTTTCGTACATGACTAATCCTGCTTTTTGTTGCAATCCTACATCAGCACTCCCAAAATATTGTCTTCCCATAACCTAAACACTCGATATAATGCTGATTTCCAACTCTTATGCACCTTCACCTTCAAAAAGAGTTGTTTTTCATCCTCACATAACAAATCCATGTAAAACAAATTTGTAGCTTGATAACTCGAGAAAATCCAACAACATTCATATGAGTATACTTCTTTCACAGTATTCATAA